GCGCGGTGGGTCGCGTGTGGGTCGCGGGCGGGTCGTGGGCGGGTGGCGGGTGGGTCGCGTGTGGGTCGCGGGCGGGTCGCCAGCCTAAGCCCGCAGGATCCCGCGATCTTCCGCGCAGTCCTGCCGCAAACGAACGCATCGGGGACAATTCGGTACCTTTTCAGCCGTCATGGGGCGATCTGGGGGGGCTCGGGCCATCTTGGAGCGTCGGGAAACCGAATTGGTAGAAACGCGACAACGAAGGAATACCGAAACATGTTCCTTGCAGTCCTCTTTTAGACCTCTTGGAGCCCTCATGGAGCGTCCTGGTGGCGTCGTGGACCGTCTGGACGCCGTCTTGGACCGTCTGGAGCCATATCGGGAGTCAGAGGGCGCTCTTGAGGCGACTCGCACAGGGCGTAGCAGAGTTTCCAGTAGGTCTTGGACCATCCCTATGGAGCTCCCAGCAGGCCCCGTACCATCCCTATGGAGTTCGCAGAAGGTCCTGTGCAGTCCCCATAGAGTTCGCAGTACGTCCTGTTCCATCCTCATAGAGTTCGCACTTGATCCTGTAGCATCCCTAAAATAGTCCACAGTAGGTCCTTTTTACCATCCTTATAGAGTTCCCAGTAGGTCCTTTACCATCACTATACAGCTCCAGTACGTCCTGTACCATCTCTATTGAGTTAGCAGTAGATCCTGTATCATTCTTACAAGGGTCCCCAGTAGGTCATTTACCTTCTTCATAAAGTTCCTACTAGGTTCTGTGCCATCCCTAAAGAGTCCCAGTCGGTCCTGTACCATCTCCATGCAGTAGATTCTGCACCATCATTAGAAGAGTTCCCAGTGGGCTTTTTACAATTGTGAGGAGTTCCTAGTCGGTGCTGTACCACCCTTATAGATTTTCAAGTACGTCCAATACCATCTTCGCTGTGTCCCCAATGAGTTTTACAATCCTTGTAGATTTCCCAATGGGTCCTGTACCATTCCTATAGAGTCCCCGACAAGTCCTGTACCATCCTTATAGAGATTCAGTAGGTCCTGTGCCATCCTATGGAGTCCTCCGTAGGTCCTGTACCATCCTTGTTGAGTCCCCACCAGGTCCTTTACCGTCCCTAAAGAGTTCCCAATAGGTCCTAGACCATCCTTTACATAGTTACCAGTAAGTAGTTCCTGTACAAGTGGAGTGTTCCCAGTATCTCCCGCACCATCCCTATAGAGTTCGCAAACGGTCCTGCAGCATTCATACAGGGATCGCAGGAGGTTTGTACCATTCGTATAGAGTTCGCAGCAGGTCATGTACCATCTAGTATGTCTTGCACCATCTCCATAGAGTTCGCAGTAGGTCCTGCACCATCTGTGTAGAGTTCGCCGTAGGTCCTGTATCATCCCCATAGATTTCATAGGAGGACCCGTACCACGCCTATACCTTTCTCATGAAGTCTCGCTTCGCCAGCGCGCACATCGATGTTGTGCCCACGATGTTCTAGTATTCTTTTGAAGAAACAACGAGGGTAGGACCAGACATTGCGTTGTCGCGGTTGCGACCCCCCCACCCGCATTTTGGGGCGAGGGCCCAGGGTCCAGGTCTCGCCATTCCAGAAGGAAAGTCCAGGGTGCCGGCGTCTTGGGGAGCAGGATAACAGGAGCCCGTTCTCACGTTGTTGTTGTTGTTGAGGTTGTTGTTGTTGTTGTTGTTGTTGTTGTTGTTGTTGTTGTTGTTGTTGTTGTTGTTTATGGTTATGTGGTTGTTGTTGTTGCTGTTGCTGTTGTTGCTACTGTTGCTGTTGCTGTTGCTGTTGCTGTTGTTGGTGTTGTTGTTGTTGGTGTTGTTGTTGTTGTTGTTGTTGCTGTTGCTGTTGCTGGTGTTGTTGTTGTTGTTGTTCGGAGCAACCCTTTACCAGGCCCTGGCTTCAAGGGTTAAAACGATTCGGCGACCATGGGCCGGCCCTACGGGGCCGGGGGGGGGGTCGCACGTGGGCGGTGGCCTCGCGCTGCCCCAACGCGGCCCGGGGAAGTGGTTTGCACACGGAGGGCGCCCGCAGCATTTTAGCATGGCGGCGGTGCCACAAAACGTTCACCCCCCATGGGGCTGGGGAAAGGGTTGGCACGCACGGTGGCGCCGCGACAACGCCCTTTTGCAACCGCGCCATTCAGCAACCTCCTCCTCCTCCTCCTCCTCTTCCTCCTCCTCCTTCTCCTCCTCCTCTTCCTCTCTTCCCACTACAGCTCCCACATCACCTCGCGGTGCCGCTCCCACTACAGCTCCCACTTCAGCTCCCACTGCAGCTCCCGGCACAGCTCTCACTTCAGCTCCCACTACAGCTCCCGCCACAGCTCTCACTTCAGCTCCCACTACAGCTCCCGCTACAGCTCCCACTACAGCTCTCGCCACAGCTCGCCCCACAGCTTCCACTAAAGCTTCCATTATAGCTCCTCCCGCTGCAGCTCCCACTACAGTTCCCGCCACAGCTCCTACTTCAGCTCCCACTACAGCTCTCGCTACTGCTTCCACTACAGCTCCCGCTGCAGCTCCCACTCCAACTCCCACTACAGCTCTCGCCACAGCTTCCATGACAGCTTTTACTACAGCTCACCTTTCCAGCTAATCTCCCTCGTGTTCCATCCCCCTACCTCCCCCTTGTCCCTGCTTTTTATTATTCCTCTGTTCCCCTGCTTTGAGGGCCGCACGACATACGCGTTGCCAGTAAGAAAGATATGCCCCTAAGGGGTACGATCGCAGACGAAGAAAGCGGGTAGCGAGAGTTCGGGATATACGTGTCGAGTGGCGCGCGATCAGATAAGAGCGAGCAGTATTCGAATGATTGGTGTTGTCGTTGGTAGTGTTGGTGCTGTTGTAGATGCTGTTGTGATTGATTGCCCACATTTCACGAATGAGTGTTGATCCTCCCCCTGGTGCCCATTCCGTTTTCAATCAGAGTGTTCATTCTAGGGTTCGAATATTGTTTTTCAATGAGGGCATACAAGTCTTGGGCGTCTGGTTGTGCCCGTCGCCTTTGGTTTGCTACAGCAGCTGATCCCGCTTGGCACGTCCTCCTAATGTATTCATAGTCGCGCTCTCGCGCGGGATTCTCTCACAACTGATGCAGGAATGTACCTACGAGTCGCGCTGTCGCGTGACACTTCATCGCAATATAGTGAGACTCCCCGCCTTCGACCCGCAGGAATCGCGCTTTCGCTCTAGACTGCCTCACGAGTTACTCGGAGACCGCGCCATCGCTCGACACCCCCTCGTGAGGCATGCAAGACGGACGCTTCCGCGGCCCGCCCGTCAGCGTCCGCCTCCTCGACCCGCCCGCCTGGCTCTGCCGCTCACCTCACCAGCCTGGAACATATCCTCATCCCTATGATTGGCATCGCCTCATCTCGATGCCGACCTTAGGGCTTCCCCCCGTTTCTGAGGGCGCATCCCTAAGATTGTCGTCGACTCGTGGCTTGTTAATCTTAGGGGTAGGGGTACGCCCGAGGCTGGGTATTACTTTCTTCATCTTGACCCCCAGTATTGCGAATCTCTCTCGAGCTCCACCCTTCTCCGTTCCCCGTGTCTCTTCCCTCTTCCCTCCCTTGTAAGATGTACCCCCAAGGAGGGGGGCACGATCGAAGACAAAGTGGGCGGTTATCGAGTGTTTGGGATACGCACGTTGATTACTTGACATCGCTCGGACGTGTGCATTTCTGTCCGGCGAGGACCATCGAGGAGCATCCTGGACCATCGAGCACAAACAAAAACACGCACGAAACCGAACAATGCACGGGAAATGGACGTCCGAGCGACGGCAAGCTTGTCTCTTCCCTCTTCCCTCCCCTCCCTTGTAAGATGTACCCCCAAGGAGGGGGGCACGATCGAAGACAAAGCGGGCGGTCATCGAGTGTTTGGGATATGCATGTTGATTAACACGCGAGCAAACATGAACAACAGTTCTTGAATGATCGTTGTTGTTGTTGTTGTTCGTTCAGTGTTTGTCGTTGTTGTTCGTCGTCGTTATTGTTGTTGGAATTGGTGTTGGTGTTGGTGTTGGTGTTGTTGGTGGTGGTATTGCTGCTGCTGTTGTGGTTGTTGTTGTTGTTGTTGTTGTTGTTGTTGTCGTTTCTGCGGTTGTTGTGGTATTGGTGCTGTTGTTGAGTTCCCATTTCTGAGGAATAGTTGTTGATCCTCCCTCCCCAGTGCCCCTCTTGGTATTCAATACAGTGTTCCCCCCAGGGCTCGCACGTTTATCTTGGCAAGGGGAAAAATCTTAGGCCTCATATTGTGCCCGTCGCCCCTGGTTTACCACAACAGCGGCTCCCGCCGGACACTTTCTCACAATTTATTCAACATCGCACTCTCGCGCGAGACTTTCTCACAACTGATCCACAGATTTATCCAGGAATCGCGCTGTCGCGTGGCACTTCATCGTGATTTGTTGAAGCGCCGCGCCTTCGACTCTCAGGAATCACGCTTTCTTTCTGGACCTCCTCGCGAGTTACTTGGAATTCGCGCTATCGCTCGAAACTCCCTCGCGATCGATGCAGGACTGATGCATCAGCGACCCGCCCGTTCGACCCGGCCGTCTGTGCCCGCCCGCCAGACCCGCCCGTCAGGGTCCGCCTTCTCGATCTGCCCGTCTGGTTCTGCCGCTTGCACTCCTGCCCCTCACCCCGTTCCAGCTAATCTCGTGCTCAATCCTTCTCCCTCCCTCTTGTCTCTTCCCTCCCCCTCCCCTCCCTGTTTCAGGGCTGCGCAGACTACACGTGGCAGGTAAGGAAGATATGCCCCCGAGGGGGGCACGATCGAAGACGAGAGGGCCGATACCGAGGCTTTGGGATGCACATCTTGAATGACACGCGGTTATATCAATCAAAGCAATCAGTCCTAACAATGTTGTTGTTGATGGTGATGGTGATGATAGGGAGGAGGAGGGGAGAAGGAGGAGGAGGAGGAGGAGGAGGAGGTGTTCATCTATTATTTGGGTTCTGGGACCGTCAAGGCCGTCGTCCTCCGCGCCCGATTGCCGCCGAAGGCACCTCATGCTCGGGGGGATTCCGCCGCGTGAGCTTCAGTTCAGAGGTGCACCTGTACCGGTACGAGCAGGTCTCCGGTGAGCAGGCGCCCCAGACGCCGGAGGAGGCTGGGGAGGATTGAAGAAACATTTTTTGATCTACGGGGCGAGAGCGAACCTCTTCCGCTAAAAGCTAGGCGGGCTACGCACAGCTTTCATTAGGGAGACAGAGGATTGAAGAAACACGCAGCGCAGCATACGCATAATTGTGCGACGTTTCGCACTGGGCTGGCCCTGGATCGGCGCTGGGCCCCTCTTCCAGGGGAGGGGAGGAGGAGGAAGGCCCAGAGCGCCCACAGAGACGTCCGACGAGAGGGCCCACCTCGAGGCGAAGCCGGAGCCCCGCTCGGTTCGGGTGCTCTGGCAGCTGTTGCCCCAGCTGCCCGACAGGGTCACCACGGTCCGCTTCGTCCTCCAGGCTAGATTTGCACTCGACGGCCTCGCCAGGCCTCAATCTTAGCATTGCGTCGGGCCTGTCCCTCTGCAGGAGGCGTATTCAAGAACAGTCAAACATACTCGGGGGACGACTTTTGTTAGTTTGTTTACTATTTGGGGGCGTTTCTCATTTTTCGTCCAATCGGCGTCCCCCCAACATACTTATACGATGTGTTCGTCGCCCCCCCCCAGGGGCGACGCGCGCACCGAGAAATCTTCTAGTATATGCGTATATGCGTCGTGGCGGGCGATTTCTGGCCACACCGCTCGAGAAACGATGTTCTACAAGGTGGGTATACTATATGTTTGTGTCGGACGCGCGCCTCCAAGACGGACACATAGTATCCTTCCGCCTTGAGGGGGCCTCACCAGGCCTCAACCTCAGCAGCTGTCTTTTTAGTCGGCGGCCGCGGGCGAGCGCGCCGGCGGCGAGTCAGGCCAAAGCGGGCTACGCAGAGACGAATTAGGCAGAGAAAGCACGGGAAAAACAAGCAGAGCGACGCGCGAGGCGACAACAAAGCGCGGCCGAGGCCTCAACCTCAGCAGCCGTCGCGCAGCGTCGCAGCAGCCCCGCTGCTCGCGCGCCCGCCCCACGGAGCAACGGGGGGGTGGACCCCCCTGCAAGTTTTGAATCGGGCGCGGCCCTCCACAGGGGAAATGTTCAGAGCCCCGAATCATCAGGGGTAACTCGGGTCAGGGCTAACTCGGGTTCATTTTTCGGGAACCCAAACCCGAGTTACCCCGGACCCGAGTTACCCTGGATAACTCGGGCGTCCAAAATGTTCACAAAAGTAGTCATAAAAAAGTCTGGGAACGATTGTGCGAGTATTTTTTTATAGTTGTGAACATCTTTGGAATATGTTCGGTTTTTCGACCAAAACCCGCCTGTAGGGGGACACGCCCGACCTGATGCAAGTTCGAGACATGTCCTTTTGGCTCCTCCTCGTCTTGCCGGAGCGCTTTTCGCCACGTAACGGGTTCCTCCGTTGTGCACCGCTTGCGCGCGAGGCAGGAATTGTCGTGCAAAATACAGGGTCCAGCTTGAATAAGGAACGCTTACTTTTCAAAAGGGGTTCGGGCGTTCCTTTGGTTTGCTTGCGTTCCGCTACCTTATTGGCGGCGAGCCTCCCTGGTATTCTTTCGGACTTCCTAGACTGTCTTAGAAGTCCTTATATAGGAGCTTCGTTCTTATTTATCGTTCCTTATCTAGACTTCGTCCTTATATAGGAGCTTCGTCCTTATACTAGACTGTTTCAAAAGGGGCTTCGTTCCTTATTTATCGTTCCTTAGATCAGGCCGAATACTGTGTCCGGGCCAGTGGGCCAACGCGTGTGGCATGTGGGCCAGCGCCCTCCCGTGAGCTTGCCATGGGCTGGCCACAGGGCAGGCTCGCCTCCGGCGCCTGAGGAAGCACGGCCCTCGGGGCTCCGCGATGAGGCCCCCCGCGCAGTCTTGCGGGGCAATGTTCTGGTCCACGTCCGGTGCGTCTTGGACTTCTTCTGGCAGGGGCGCCGCGAGGCCGAGGCGCACTGGGTATGGATGAACCTCGAGCCTCCGGGGGCCCGATCTTTGCCCACGTCCAGTGCGCCTCGAGTTTCTGGGGAAGTCGGGTCGGGCGAAAGGGGGGGATTGGGAAAGGGGGGGTTACGAAATTTGCTGCATGCAGCTGGTTTCGGCCTCACCGAGGGGCCCATTCCTCGATACATGGGCGCCTCCCGGCGCCGGGAGGCGCCGGGGAAATCAGCTACGTGAGCTGATTCTCAAACCCCCCCTTTGCTATCCCCCCTTTTCGCCCGACCCGAGGAAGGGGGCCCGAAACTCCCAGCGGCAGCGGACTGGGGCGCGTGTTTTGCCCCCGGGTCCGGCCGACAGGCACTGCGGAAGCTCGCGCTGGATAGCGTGCAAGGCGGTGGCCATGGCGAGGGGACTGCGTTGAAGTCGGGCCTGTCCCTCTACAGGAGGAGAACTCAACCAAAAACAGTCAGGGGGCGATCTGTTGTTGACAATGTTTGATCATTTTGGTGTATTGTATTTAAGTATTGAATATTTTTCGTCCAAAATCCGCCTGTAGGGGGATATGCCCGACCTAAGACTACGTTTCCTGCCGCTTCCGACGTTCTCGTGCGTTGGGGTTACTGCCGCTGGCAAGGCTGCCGTCCGAGGTGGCCTCCGCACCGCTGCGGGTCGAGCTCGTTTCACTTGGGATCGCTCGGACGTGTGCGAATTTTCCCGGCAGCGACCATCGAGGAGCATCCTGGATCCTCTGGCAGAGAAGCGCAGGCGCGACACCGAGCATGCACGGGGAATGAACGTCCGATCGATGGCAAGCTACGGGGCGCACTCGTTTCACCCCGTCCACACCCGCAGACTTCTCCGAAGCTTTATGTCGGGCGTGTCCCCCTACAGGGGGACTTTCGACGAGAAATAAGAAATACCCCTAAAATGCCCCAAAAAGGTCGAAACATGCTCGAAACGTAGTCCCCAGACTATTTCTGGATGATTTTTAGGGTATTTTTTATTTATCGTCGAGCATCCCCCTGTGGGGGGACAGGCCCGACTTAACTGAAGCTGCGCGGGCGCGTCGTCGCGTTGGCGCCGCCGCGCCAGCGTCCACCTCGTCGGTCCGAGGCGCACGTCCAGCCGGGCCCACCTGCCGGCCCCCGCTGGGCCGCCGCCCGTGCCCGCACGTCAGCGATGGCGTTGCGAAGGGGGATGGAGGGGGAAGGGGAGATGCAAGGATGAGGGAGAGGAGGGGAGGAAGGTTTGTCAGCGATCCCCTGGGGGCCTGAACGATTTTGAAACAGCACGTCGGCCACGATGGCCGAAGACCAGCTCACCCGCTGAGCACGTCAGAAGTACAGCCCAGCAGATGAGGGACAGCGGGCGGGAATAAAAGGACGGTCCCGAAGGGCCCCAGATTTAGCCACCCGCCATCCACAAAATCTGGTCACGGTGCGTCGCCCAAAGGCGCGGCAGCAGGCCGTGCCACCGCCGACGCTTCACGGGCCTGAATGCGTGCCAGGAGCGCCGCCATACCTGCCGTCTCTATCAGCCCTGACGGCGAGAGCGGCAGGCTGACATCTGGCGGCGGTGGCCTATGAGATTCGTAGCAAAAGAAAGCCACGCCTCGCCTCGAGGATTCGCTCACCGTGCTATTGTCACGATAGTGAGGATAGAGGCCAGCAAAGATCCTCCTCAGCACGGTAGTGCCACCCGCCAGTCGGCGCTGAAGGCACTCCTTGCCGAGCATATGACAGCGCGCAGAGGAGTACGCTCCGCACATGGAGCAAAAGAAGAGGGTGAGCCTCTGCTCACCTTTGCTTACAATGCAATGCGCCAACGAGTGCCCCAAGGACCGATCCAGGACACCGCGCCACAGCCTGCTGGGTCCTTTACATCCCAACATGGGGCGCGCATCCCGATCAGTGGACAAACAAAGGCAATGCAAACATCTGGCGCAGCCCTGACCTATTTCCTGCCAGGAATGCCAACCTCCCGATTTTAAAAACTTGGCCCTCGGTCCCAAGGGTCGACGCTCAAACTTTTCGGGAGGAAAGGTGGCAAGCACGGTGCCCGCCACCCTAGCAGCGAAAGCCAACAAATCACACTTCCTGTCCACCTCCGTACGTTCGTGCACACTGGGTTGGGGATGGAGGAGGAGAGCTTGCTTGGCAAGGGCGTCGGCTTTCAAGTTGCCTATACCAATCCGTTTCTCGTGCGGAGTTCAAGGAGGAAGGAAGGAGGAGTTCGAGGAGGAAGGCAAGGAGGAATTCAAGGAGGAAGGAAGGAGGAGTTCAAGGAGGAAGGAAGGAGGAGTTCGAGGAGGAAGGCAAGGAGGAATTCAAGGAGGAAGGAAGGAGGAAGGAAGGAGGAGTTCAAGGAGGAAGGAGGAGTTCCAGAGGGAGGAGGTGGAGGAGGAGACGGAGCCCGGAGTGCACATCGGCCTGGGTCCGCAGGCCTAGGTCCAGGAGGAGGAGGCGGACGGCAGAGAGGGGGGCCGACAGGACGGCCACGTTGAGAAACGTGCAGCGCGAGGCACGATCCTCCTCCTCCTTTCCTCCTCCTCCTCCTCCTCCTCCTCCTCCTCCTCCTCCTTTCCTCCTACTCCTCCTCCTCCTGCTTTCCTCCTCCTCCTCCTTTCCTCCTCATCCTCCTCCTCCTTTCCTCCTTTCCTCCTCCTCCTTTCCTCCTCCTCCTCCTCCTCCTCCTCCTCCTCCCCCTCCTCCTCCTCCTTCTCCTCCTCCCCCCCCGACTGAACAGAACGAGCGAACGAGACGGCACCAGAGCGTCTCACGGAGCGCGTTTCTGATGTCAGCAGTGCAGGACACGCCGCGGACCGGTCCCACCCCCGCAGACGAGGCGGCGAAAGAGCCCACGGAGGCTCGAAGTGCAGATGGCATCTGACGTCCATATGTGCCAAGCCTACACACGTCGAGCATCGTGCAACCTTGTCGCCGAGGCGCTGCAGCCTGATTAGCATTCGAGAGACTCTGGGCCTGCATTGATGCCAGGATCAAGGCGATGCGTGCCAGCATGTGATCGTTTTCGTATTCATCGTTTTGCCGATCGGCGCGGGCCCTCGAAACCCCCTCCCCCCCTTCTGGATTATATC